AATGCACTGCACCATCACATCACCACACAGCTGCAAGTGTAACAGCAAATAGGAATTGTTTCTGTGTCTTTAGAGAGCGCTCACTGCATGTACTCGGATGTTTTGTTTCTGTTTTTTAGATTAAATTTGGGAGAGGAGTTCTTTACTCACTGCTTCTTGTGGGAAAAGTTTTCATTTACATATGTCAGTTATTTAAAATATCTGCACAAATACTGTTGAAATTTTGACATTTTTATGTTATTTAAACAAAGTAATAAGCTGTGTCTGTCCTCAGAAAATTGTTTGTCAAGTGATACAATTGCCCCCAAATTACATTTCCTAAATTTATTTTTACACCTGACATGAGCACCATCTTTATAATCTGTTTGGTATCAACATCCACATCTGTCTGGTCCGTTTAAACGCCAAAATACATTATCGGTGTGCTTTCATGGTGATTTGGTCAATGATGATGCTATTTTATGGTTTTCTTTTTCCATGACAATTGTCAGTCTTTTACTTGCTCATTATTAGCAGATTTCCTACATTTCCGTGTCTCATTGCTTCCTAAACAATCCATGTAATACTGCCATCCTTTCCCTCTCTTCGCATGTAAACTGTAGCAGCATCTCATCCCTCAGGCTCCTGTCCAGTGAGATGTTCCTCTCCACCCCCTCCAGACTCCTTCCAGCTTTTGTCACTGCACATCTTTGCGCTCAGCAGGGAGGCTCCTGCCACAGTGGACCCTGCACGGCCCCATACTGGCCCCCACATTGATGCTGTGCAGCTGTTTCCAAATCCAGCCCTTGATTTTGATCCTCTTCCTTTTTAACGTGCTGTCCCCGTGGACACTTCTGACCTGGTGGTCTAACGTGGGCGTCTAATAATGTAGTTGTTTCAGGATGGTTCGCAGACGGAGGTTAAGAGGCACGATTATTATTAATATCATTCATGGACACCTTTTCCTCCTGCGGGGGTTATTTTATGCTGCAGAATTTAAATCCTGATATTTAAAGTAGGATACAGTATGTTTCGAGTTTGGGACAGTGCTGCCCAAAGGATTTATTTAATGTTCAGGGGCAAGTGACAAAATATTCAACAAAATCTCAATCTACAACTTAAAACTGACCAAATGCATCAACTCTTTTCTTGGGGAAAAAAATCTTGTGGAAAACAAAAACAAAAAAAAAGCTCAACATACACTTTAAAATGTTGTTGGAGGGTAATAATACACATGGAATTATTTATTTATGCGTCATCTTTTTTTGGATTTCTTCTCATTTTTAATGAATGTTCTGCTGTCTGCATTCTGTAGGCTTGTGTTGTGTCCAGTACATTGACATAAGTATTGTACTTTGAAATTTACTTGAGTATTTGCATTTTCTGCTACTGAATACCTGTATTTATACATTTCTGAGGCAAATATACTTTTTACTCGATGCATTGTTATGGATTAAATCCGTAGATTTAACAGATCGTTGTATCTCAACCAGTTTAAACATTAAAATACTGCATGTACTCAAAAGGCACCAGTGACAGTAAACAGTACTGTAACAGTATGAAAACAGTCATTCTGCACTTTTGACACTTTACTTTCATCTGATAATAGTTGTGTAGGCTGCTTTAACAGAAGAAAATATTAAATGCAGGGCATTTAATTGCCATGGAGAATATTTTACATGGTGGTATTCCTATATGCCCTTTACTTAAGTAAAAGATCAGAGTACGTCTTCCACAAACTAAGGTTCATTCACTGCATCATAACTCCACTTTATAGCAAGGAATGGTTTTATTATTGACTTTTATCGATCAGTTTGATTGATTGTACATGATCACAATAATCAGCACGTCTGTGTGGTACTCAGAACATTTACATAAGTAAAAGTATAGCAGTAACAGCCTAGAAAAAACAGTAGTAGAGAGTAAAAGTAGAAATCCTTTGTTCAAAACGTTACTGAAGTAAATTTGCATAAGTATTAGTGTTAAATAGGTTTTAAGTAACAAAAGTAAAAGTACTCATTCTGCAGAATTACCCATTTCAGAATATATTACTATTATTATATTATAACTAATGCATTAATGTGTAAGCATCATTATGTTGCAGCTGGTAAAGGTGGGGCTGCTTTAGATACTGCTGGGAAGTTTAACCTTTAACATTACATTAAATTTTATTAGTTGATTATATTTTGTTTAGTACAATGGAATTAGAAGTACCTCCAAATTGTAATTAATTTAAAAAATATGTTGCATTAAATCAGGTCATAATGTTTGAAGTCAACAGAGTGTGGGCTAAAATAATTTTAAAACCGTTTTCCCTGCTGTGTAAATTAAGGTACACACACCTCCACCTCCTCCAAATCAAGCAGGTGTCCTACCCCACCCCCCCTGTCCTGTCCAACAAGAGAGGGGGGAGGAAAAAGGGGGAAAAAAAGCTCTTTTAGCGGGGAGGAGGGACTTCAGCCCTCTCACCTTTGCAACAGATAAGCCGATCTTCAGTCTCCTCCACACTGTGGCAGCTACCTTAATCTGTTTTTAATGACCCTGCGGAGCATCCCGAGAGACTCTGCACTCTCTTCTCCCAGCTGGTTAGACGGCAGCAGTTTACAGAAGTGTGTGTGAGTGTGTGTGTGTGTGATTGGGAATATTTTAGCAACGCACGTTTCAATGCAAATTATATTTTAGCAGGAAAAGCCACTTTCTGGGACAATAATTCTCACTTTAAGCAGCAAAATACATGAAAGAAAACCAACATTTTCGAGCAAAATCTAAAACTTCTTAATTTCCCATTATGTATCTTTTACTTGCTGTTATTTTGTCATTAAAGTTGAAACGTCCCCATCTATTATTTTAACATGATCGAGCCTCTTCTCCCCGGGCTGTTTGGTTTCTCTCCTGATGAGCGTAAAACTCTGCTATTTATCCACAAACAAATGCTTTTCTTTGATAGGTTTCCCAGCAGCTCTTTGAAATAAAACAATTACCGCATTCTTTGTGCAATAATTGTCAATCATCCACATTAAATTGATAAGCTTTAAATGGACAGAATAATGGCTTAAATTGTTTTACAATGGAACAGCTAAGCAGGATGATTTGCTATTGCTGACATGCCCGCGGCTTTACCAGCTCCAAATAATGCCATAGGTTAATGCATAAATAAGCAAATCAAATCCATGCGTTACCCCAATTCAATTCATTTAATTCCTCTTTAATAAAGAAGCGGCCCCACCCCTCTGTCCCCCCCGCCATTTACCTCGGATTTGTGCGATGAATGCTATAAATGTAAATCAATCTAGATGAGAAAGAATCCCATTGAAAGAGCAGAGAAATTTCATCTGGGAAAAGGAGACAAATGTAGGAGGGGCCCGCTCATAAAAAGCAGCTGTTTCACAGTAATCTTTTTTCGTGCCCTGTCACTCACCTTGCCTTTTCACTATCTCTGCTGCTCAAAAAACTCTCCGCTATTGTATTTAGTTGCCATATCTTCTTTCCCATTACATTGCCATAGTCCATATTCGTCCAGAGAAAGAGAAGGAGAAAGAGAGAGCACAACTTGCCCGGTTTTTTTTTTCTTTTCTCGGACAATCCCCTTGTAGTTGTTGGAGTGAAAAGAGGAGTGCATGGATGTCAAATTGCCCTCAAAACACCATGAAAGATTGATTTGCAGCACTTTTCAGGGCCCTGACATTACTTGGAGGGGAGCTGAATAGGAAACCTGTGAGCCCGGGATGGAATAAAGATGTCCTCTCTGCTGGAAAAGAAGGAAAACTGCCCATTTAGCCCCAGTCCATCAAGCCCGAAAAATAGGCAAGAGAGGAAAAAACACAGAGGACTGTGACTATAGAGAAGAAAGGGGCCGTATATACTCATCTAAACGTTGTCACAATACCGAGGGGGCTCCGAACATCCATGAATATTAAACCGCTTACCTCAACAAGGGCTTGAAAAAGTGAACCACGTCAAAGCAGCTTTGCATTTTTTGCATGCGAACAATGCTGTAAAAAAAAACAAAAACACATCGAGCTTGTTTCCATTCTTGTTATTCCCGCGCTAACTCCTCTCTCTCTCTCTCTCTCTCTCTCTCTNTTTTTGCATGCGAACAATGCTGTAAAAAAAAACAAAAACACATCGAGCTTGTTTCCATTCTTGTTATTCCCGCGCTAACTCCTCTCTCTCTCTCTCTCTCTCTCTCTCTCACACACACACACACACACAAAAATTAATATTACCACAGCATGAATACGAAATGCCTGAGAAAAAAATAAGCGAGCAGCTCCCAGACTCAATGACCCACTTCTGTGGACACAACTCATCACTTCAACTGAACCTGCAGTGCTTTTTTTTAAATTCTAGTTTTAGTTTTTATGTCTGTTGCATTATTTCTTAGTTGGTGCACATGTGTAAACAGAGTACAGTTAGACTACATATTCACATGGGCCACAAAGTGCAGCATATTTGCACTATAATCTATTTTTTCTACGCTCATAGACTTTTAAACACTTTACACTTTCTGTTTCGCAGGTTTTCGATCTTAAAAAAAATATTGTAAAATATGTTTATTGTCATTTGACTACCCAGCATGCGTTTGCAGCTTTGCAAAAAAAAATTTGCATTAAATTCGATTCCGGCAAGTGACTCAAATAAAGTTTTGGCCCCCTTCTCCCCCGACCCCCCTCCCCTCTCTCTGCTGTGTGTTTTAATGTCTCTGCTGGTGTGTTGCGGTGCAGCAGGCAGGTCCACACGGTGAGGGGTGTGTCATTAATAAGTAATTAGACAGGGGTCACAGCAGCCACTTATATAAAGAGACCCTCTGAGCCAGGCAAGGCAGCTTTACGCACAGACAGTTTGGCGCAGAGGGACGGACTGAGGAGCAGCTCTGTGGGTCCACTCCTCATTCTTCCTCTTTTTCATCGCTCTATATTTGCAGCTGCACCGCTGTTAATCATCCTCAGGGTTTTCGTCCTTTCTTTCTTTCTTTTTTATTTGTTGGTGTTGTTGTTGTTGTTGTTGTTGTTTTCTGCAACATGGGCTCAGTGCTACCCGCAGACGCTTTGGCTCTCAAATCGGGATTTAAATGTCCGAGCCGCTCGCTGTCGGACGTGATCACCTCGGACATCCTGCACAGCTTCCTGTACGGCAGGTGGAGGAACGTGCTGGGCGAACACCTGGCGGAGGAGCGGCAGAGCGGCGGCAGCAGCGGCAGCCCCAAGACCGCCTTCACCGCCGAGGTGCTGGCTCAGTCCTTCGCTGGAGGTAAGGCTCACCTGCTGCTTTATTGTGGGACGATTTCATTTTGACTGTTTCATCCTGCTGTTGGAGGTTTTTTTTATTGTGGCCTATATGATCGATTTTGAAGTGTTTTATTCAAGCCGGTGTGTATAAAATGAGCCTTTTATAGCTTCTTTATGGGAATAAAAAAAGTTATTTTAATAGCTTTAATAAAATAAATATATGTTTTATAAATAATGTGCTTACACTAGATCTCATGCGATTCCCTACAAACTTTTACTACATTTTTTCAGCGTGACAGCTATATTTGAGCAGTTTTTCCAATGATATCCTCACACATAATTTGGATCTCCTGTCAGAGAAACCAAACATTCATTTGACAAAGTTTGCCTGACTCACTTGTTGCTGTTTTTTGCACTTTCCCTCATTTCTTTTTTTTTTCTTTTTTGTTGCTGCTGTTATTTCGAGCCATTTAACGCGTTAACCCTCGCGGAGCTTCAGGACCTCGCGTTTAGAGGCTTGTTATGCGTGTAACTGCCGCTGATTGAAAGACGCGGGGCATTAAATTCATTTGGTTAACTTTGTGCTTGACCTGGGAAAGTTTCCACTTAAACCTCGAAGAGAGAAAGGTTTCTTTTCTTCGAGATGTCCCGGGTTTTTATCCCGCATTCATCAATCTCCGGACAGTCTCTTTTCCTCTCTTGGCAGCTATGGGGCTCCGGAGCTTTTCTCTTTCTCTCTCCTTAAAAGATTTGCTGTTCCTCGCATAATGCACCGTGAAGGCTAAATCTAATGCTATTCATTGCATGTCAACCATTTAATCGCCTTTCCATTTTTTTGTTGCAGAAATTCCTCAGTCTTTTAAACAAGTCCTCGTTTCATTCAGCGCAAATTTATTGCTACAAAGTTCTTAAAAGGATAATGAATTTGGAATTAGCCGTTTCTTTTCCAGTAAACTTTAATGAATATCACATCTGAAGCATGACAAATTGTTGGACCCTGGGCAATAGAGGACCATTTAACCCCTATTCAGCCTGGCTTTTTCGCAGCCTCAAATAAAAAAAAAATCTTTGATTTTGACATTAAAGAATCGCACGATCTTTTTTTTTCTTTTCTTTTTCCCCCTTTTCTGATGCGGATAAAAATGCTTTCCAAGGGGGTTTCTCTGCACAACAAAAACGTTCAATTCATCCAGATAATCGAATTAAACGGAGGATAAGGTGTAGCTTAATATTTCGTGACTAAAATAAGATTCAGTCCATTTGCTGCTTTCAGGACTCCTCCAGCCATCGTGCTTCATCAGAGACTTTGGCATCCACTCACGCTGCTGAACAACTCACAACATTTGGTCTCTGCTTTATCCAAATTATATTATGTGCAGTTTTACTCATGCACACACAAAAAAAACAGTTTTCAGATATTATGTCTGTGTTTCTAACATCATAAATTGCGCAGGCCCTCTCAATATTCCAGTTTCCATTTTCTCACGTTTCCTGCTTTATCTTTGCAGAGGTGCAGAAGCTGTCCAGCCTGGTGCTGCCCAGCGAAGTGATCATCGCCCAAAGCTCGATCCCCGGAGAAGGTCTGGGCATCTTCTCCAAGACCTGGATCAAAGCGGGAACCGAGATGGGCCCTTTCACGGGGAGAGTCCTGTCCCCTGAACACGTGGACCTGCTCAAGAACAACAACCTCATGTGGGAGGTGAGCTGACACTTGACAAGTCTGTGATGATATGACTTCATTTACGCAGCCTGCGAGGAAAAGGCCTGAGAGCTGTGAAGACGCCCGAGTGTTTTATAACTTAATTTATTATTATTTTTTATCTCTTATTAAACCGGTTTTCCTTGTGCGCTCAGGTGTTCAATGAAGACGGCACGGTGCGTTATTTCATCGATGCCAGTCAGGAGGATCAGCGCAGCTGGATGACCTACATAAAGTGCGCCCGGAATGAGCAGGAGCAAAATCTGGAGGTGGTGCAGATCGGCAGCAGCATCTTCTACAAGGCAGTGGAGGTGAGAGAAACTCAGGACAGAGCTCGCTAAATGAATACTTTGTAACTGAGCGTAAAGATGGACTGGGCCTTCGGTGGCTCTTGGGGAATTTATTTGAGGCCAGCAAGAATGTAAATGGCCTTTAGAACAGCGCCACCTGCTGGTCGGACGGAGGAATGAATAGGTTATGCGAGTCGTAATTTGGTGATGGTGATTGTCAGGTTGCAGCAGCGAAGTTGAATTAACTGACCTTTGCCCTCTTTTCTTCCTCCCTCAGACCATCCCACCAGACCAGGAGCTGCTTGTCTGGTACGGAAACACCCACAACACATTCCTGGGAATCCCCGGAGTTCCTGGAACAGATGAGGAGCACCAGAAGAAAAGCAGGAATGGTGAGTTTACGGATCAATATTAGTGGTCATTTTTTAAACAGTGTAAAAGTTTTGGTTACTTTTAAAATAATAATAAAAAAAAACATAGTGTAAACCTCAGGGCAGCAGCAACCATTTGATTCAAACTGAAACTGAGAAGGCTTTAAATCATCTCCCTCTTCTTTGTCTCCTCTTCCAGATGACTCCCACTCATGTGACGGCACTTCCTCGTGCTCCCCCTCCTCCTCCTCCTCCTCCTCCTCCTCCTCCTCCACCTCCTCCACCACCGCCGGCCGCATGCGCTGCGTCATCTGCCACCGCGGCTTCAACTCCCGCAGCAACCTGCGCTCCCACATGCGCATCCACACCTTGGACAAGCCCTTTGTGTGCCGCTTCTGCAACCGCCGCTTTAGCCAGTCGTCCACGCTGCGTAACCACGTGCGCCTGCACACCGGCGAGCGGCCCTACAAGTGCCACGTCTGTCAGAGCGCCTACTCGCAGCTGGCGGGCCTCAGGGCGCACCAGAAGAGCGCACGGCACAAGCCGGTGGCGCCCGGCGCTGACGTCGGCTCACAGGTGTCCCCTCCTCCCCCACAGATGACGGCCATGCCTCACCAGCACCAGATGCCAATGGTTCACCACATCCCCACCATGGTGCTATGATGACAGAAACACTGGAGGGACAGTCAGGCAGAACAACGATGCACTTTAGGTTAGAGCTGTAGTGGAGAAGTACAGGGGGCTCCTGATCAGACAAGGGAACAAATGAGTTGATGTGACAGTAGAGCATCTCACACAGAACATTTAAACTGCCTTATTTGTATTGATTGTTTCTTTGGCTATCACGTGACAAAACCCCAGCAGAAGGATGTTTTAATGTTTGTATTTTGGAAGCTGAAATATACTGAAAAAACACCTCTGTCCAGATTTTACTAATAATTTGTAATCAGTGCTTCTCTGTGTAATCTCAAGAACTCAACACGTGTCAAATGTCACGGCAAACCAGAGACGAGACAGATATGTACTACGTTTTTACACCATTTCATCACATCCTCACCAGCTCAGGTGAAAAGAACCTTCGGTCAGAGATTTGTAGAGTCAGTAGAAACTATGAGGGACGTGGCTACCAGTGTACATCGTTGCAGCTGCATTGTTCCACACTGTAAACTGAGAAATGTCACTTTAACCTTGTACAGACTGTATTCTTTGGAGAACTGTGTAATTGTAAAATTGTATTGTATGCTAATGTACATGTTGAATGTAAATACATTTGTGCTCTCTTCTATTCTAATTAAATGATATGATATGATATTACAATCAGTATGATTTTCAATTTGTGAGAATGAATCCCTTTTTCACAATTTTTTATTATTATTCTATTGTTTATGTGCGGCTCAGAGAAACAACTTTAACCAGTTCTCTTTATAGAGTAAAATACAGACCAAATACCAGGTTTTAAGGGTTTGAGTTCTGAAGGGTTTTGCTCATAGAAGATGCCAAAATGTAGTGAAAGTCTAGTAACATTCATGAAGCATTTGTGCAACTGTTTTGAAAATCATTTGAAGGTTCCTTGTTTTTGTAAAGATCGTATCACTGTGAGTTCTGAGTGGTGAAATCCAGAGAGAATGTTTTATTGGTGATGCTTGTACTCAGGAGTGATAAATCTAAATCTCCATTTTCTAAACTTAGTATCCTGTTCAGCGTCTCAGTGGTTGGAGACCCAGTATATCAGTCAAAGCAAATGGCAGGGTAAAAACACTGGGTAGGTAAACAGCACACTGGATCCTGGGTTTGAACCTGTCAGCGTGGGTGGAGTTTGGAGAGTCTATGTGGAGGTTGCTTGTTCCCACTGATTTCCTCTGGTTGCTCTGGTTTCCAGTCCGAGTGCAATGTCAGAAGGTGCTTAGCGAAGGTGCATTAAGTGCATGGGAGACTCTGTCTATGTGTGTCAGCCCTGCACATGGACAAATCAGTGAATGGGCCAGGTGGGCCCAGGCCCACTGGCCAAATGGGTGAGAGGGGCCCCTGGACCAGAGCCTCTGTTTGAAGTGACTGTTAACGTTTCTCTTTGGGAAGTCAATCAAACAACAATAAAGATACGCAAATTGAGACAAACCAACTGAGAGTGACAAAACGACAGAGATAAAAACACAGCAAAGAAATAAAACAACCAAAAAGTGACAGAAAACAAGTAAGAGTGACAAAACATACACAAAAAGACACAAAATTACTAAGAGTTACAAACTGTCCACAAAGAAATGCAAAATGACCCCAAAGAGGCAAAACAACCATGAAGACGCCTCTTTGAATCTGTGGCTCCCCACTTATGGTGGGGGTTGGGGTGTGATTAAATACCTCATAATTCTACATTGTTTCCTAATTGATGAAGCAGTTTTCTGTCTTGAGTTGGTCAGGTAATTTGACTCCTGCGGTTATTTTTACAACCACATGGTGGCGCCAGATACTCAGGAAAATAGTCTCACAAGAGAAAAATAAGCCTCTCTTGGTGAGGGTGTAAAGATGCATTCATGCCACAGACAATTAGATGATCTCAACTAAAATTTATTTCATTCATTGGATTAGTATTTTACCATAATATTCGTACATACGGTACAGGTGTAAGTCACCTCTGAGCCACTGCTGCAATTGTCAGCTGTCAGACATTATCCAGCTTCCCAACAAGGAGTTTTCAGACAAGTCATCATTATAACAACTGCAGAGCAACACAGACCGACATGCTGGATGTGGACAGATGAAGGCCATCTTTTCTGTTCATTCTGCTGAGAGGAATTAAGGAAGATTCGGACTGGATGGTGTTTCACCACCAGAGACTGTCCACACTTTCTGCCCTGCAGAGTGAGGAAAACAAGACAGTTTAACCATCAAAACATACATAGATCATTATTTCAAAATGGTATATTTGACACACTGAGGAGCACCTTTACACTGGTACAGACATCCTGCTGCCGTCCTGTCCTTTTTAGAGGAGCAACAGCAAGATGCTATCCAGTCAGCGGCATGACGCAGTGCTGTAGGGAAACAGATGGGAATTATTGTTTTACCTGTTTGTATTGTCAGCCAAGGTGCTGCCAAGTCTGTTCTGCTGAGATAACGATGGGGCAGGTAATCTGATCCTACCCCTATCAGGTTAAACACGCTCTGTTTTACACACCATCCTACAATGCATTTTCATGTTTTAAGACTTCATTAGAATTAGTTTCTAAACAAGTTGAAAAGAATAAAGTTGTCTATGGGAAAACGGATGTCATAGTTCACCTAGTTTATAAAGCCTGTTTGCTACGAAACTGTTTTTAAAAACTTATTATAATTTTGTCTTCTCTAAAAAAAAGTTTTAATAGCTTACTTACCAGAGAATATTCGTCACAGCATCGCTCCAATTTAATTGTTTTGTTTATAAGTTTGTCTTGAAGTCTAGCTCTGCTGCTCTCATGCAGTCATGGTTATGATGTGTGTGCGCTCACACCACAAGCCAATGACACAGCGTTTTACACACCGCAGCCTTTAATAGTCCACTGACTGATGCTCACTGGGGTGTCAGTTGCCACTTCATGGGCATGAAAACAGTGAACATTATGCAAATGGGATAATTCTACTGACAGTATCTAAGATCAGATCAGAGTATAATGATGAGGGATCCTTTTATTCTGCATTTGGTTATAACAACTGCAATAAAAGTTATTAGTCAGTTTTTGAGAGAAAATATTTAATTAGAGAAATGATAACATTAGTCTTTATGTATATATAATAACCTCTTCTTAATCTGCAGTCTTTACCATGTCAACATACACCTGAAAGTTGAAATGAAAATGTAATAAACAAATTTAACAAATAAGTGAAGATTGTATTGGGGAGAGTTTCCATCTTTGGTGACAAATAGTCTTTGCTGTAGTGCTTTCTTTTTTTCCCTCTGTTTTGTCCGAAAATGACTTTGCAAACATTATCAGAATTATCATCATTGTCGAGGTGAGAAAAGGAAATCAGAGGAAAAACGTAGATTTAAAAAAATTATAAATAGATAATAAAGTAGTTAAAATTCGCCCCACCTTAACCAGCTGCAACATTACAGTGATGTATATATAAAATATATATAAATATATTGATACAAATATGTATGGACTTTAAGTACTCAAGAAGAGAATGCAGGACTTACTTGTAACAGAGTAAGTTATTTCTCCACTGGCATACTGCTACTTTTATTTAATTAAAAAAATGGTGTGTTTTATAAAGTGTCTCAAAATTATCATAATCCGCCTCATTCAAAAGAAGAAGAGGAAAAAAATAAAAAGACAGGAAACATAAATATGAAATCAGAAAAGGACTTCAACCTTGTGATGCTTTTTTAATAACGACAAAACAACTTGTAGCCGTTACCTGAGATGATTAACTGGTAATGAAGAAAAAACATCACCTTCTAAATGCCGGATAGATTGAGTTGGTCTTGCTGTGCCGATGCTTCTGGTATCTATTAGTAGAGTCTCGTCGGCTCGCCGCTACCGGAGGATTGTTGTCATTTCGCTGTGGCTAGCCTTAAGCGCTAGCTAGCCACTTGATTTTCTCCTCCAAAATACTTTGATCCAGCAGGTGGGTCTCAGTTTATGTCAACAACTTTGTACTGAGCCAAGCTCATTTACTCATTCAGCGAAACCGCTGATATATGAAAGTAGCCACTTGTCGTCAATATTAAATCGTCAGACGCAGCTAAAAGTTGAAAACAAACGCCAGCTAACGGCTAGCTTAACGTTAGCTTGATAGACATCTCTGGCTAGCTTAGCTGTAAACTAACTAATTTCGATCAGCAAACACACACAGACATCTGCTCGTTATCAGATTTTTATTTATTGTTGTAATATTTTTTAGGTCAGCACGAAGGCTGTACAGTTTGCTATCAGTGTAAACACAGTTACTTGTCATTAGTTTTTACGTTCGGCGACAAAAATGTCCATGTAAGGTCATCTTCACACGGCGGTTTGGTTCAGGAAAAGAAGAGCGGAGTGAATGTACTCACAGCTAGATAAGACTATTGGTCAATTTTATATAAAGTTTGTATTAAATTCTCAATGTTACACGGTTGTTTCAGGTTGTAGTTGAGGAAATGCCACGCTATAACATGGCTCTGTTCCAGCAGCGACTCTGCAGGATTTATCTCTCTAAGAAACATGGAGAAGCTTTAAGTTCAGTGTCAGTGCACTGACATGCCAAGCAACATATTGAAGGTATTTATAATGGGGTGCACAGCTCAGTGGTGTCTGTCCACCAGTAGGGTAAACTCTCAGTCTCAGATTGTGGAGGTGGGGCCTCAGGTTATTTATGGATGCACAGATCCAGAGTAACAAAATTTACTGACTTCATATTCACTGCCTTAAAATTTACAGTATATGATATCTTATAATATTTTAATGTCCTAATGGAGATGGATTGAGCTTCAAAAAACTAAATTAAAAAAAAGACTACACTCAAGTATTTTCTTAATGTGAAACCAATGTTTAACTTTCTGTCTGTCTAACGTAGCACTGCAACGATTAGTTAATGAATTGATTGCTTGATCAGAAAATTTATCATATATATATATATATATATATATATATATATATATAGATATGTAGGTTGTTGTTTTTCAAGCAAAATTGCCAAAATTTCTCTGATTCCAGTTTTGCATTTGTGAGAATTTGCTCGTTTTGCTTTATGTGATAGCAATAGTGGGTTTTGGACTGTTGGTTGACAAAAGAAGATATCTGAAGACAACATTTTGGACTTCAGGAAACTCAAATTTTTCACAATTTTCTGACATTTTGTAGACTAAATCATAACAGTTATTTGAGCAAAAAATCAGCTGATTGATAAGTACTGACACTAGTCATAACTTGGAGCCGTTTATGAGATGATCTGTGTCTTTGTTTGTGGTGAAAATGTTTTGATCCCTTACTAAATGGTGGCACCCAGTTGGTCAGTTACTACAAACACGTGTTGTGCATCCATGTTTTGTCAAAATCCCAAGAAAATGTGTGTAAAATACTGCACAAAATACCTAGAAAATTTCCATTTGATGAAATGATGCAGTCATAGAAATCTTTGACCCTTGGGCCACATCATATAGCTCCAGGGAGAAGTTGGAGTCTATAGAATGAGATGATTTGTGCAATTTCAAGCTACCTAAGGGGAAACAGTATGTTCAAGGGTTTCTTTTGCTTTCATATAACATCACGTGTACATGTTGTGTGTGTGGGTGTGTTTTCCACAGGATGTTATTATGGAGTGTGGCCCAATTCTGCCAGACAGCCTGGTGTTGGAGATCTTCCTGCGTCTGCCCCATGATGCTGTGCTAAGAGCTGGTCTGACTTGCAGACAGTGGCTGGCTGTCTCCAGAGATGAGTTCCTGTGGAGGGAGCTGTTCTACAGCTACTACCGCATCCCCCGCTCTGTACCCCGACACCCTGGTAAATATTCAGACCCATATGTTTCACAGGGGAATTAACAGGTTACAATTATTTATCACAAAAACACATTTGGGTGAAATTTTAACCTTTTTCAATCTACCTCTATGCAGCGGCTGTGTCGTGGCACAGAGAGTTCAAGCGTCTGTTTGACTGTATCCCGTGTGTGGAGGTTCAGACGCTGAGAGAGCACAGCGACCAAGTCCTCCACCTGGCTTTTTCTCACAGGGGTCACAGGTTCTCCTCCTGCTCCAAAGACTGCACTGTTAAGGTAGGGATTAAAGTATCACTGATGTTACTTTCATCCTGGATCTTATTTACTTACTTTCTTCCAGCATGACAAGTGATTGTGTTCAGTATCTGGTTACTTACTAACTGTAGGGCTTTTCTTTTCACTGGTTAGATTGTCCTGCCCTAAAGTACACAATTCAGAGCAAAGCAAGCTACAACAGGTGAATGTAAAAATAGATTAAAAGATTAAATTTCAACACAGTGCCACCTTTAGTGCAGATGATCTGATATATAGTTAATAGCTATGATTAATTAACAATATTTCAGTTTCACAGTGTTCCAGTTAGAATAGTCCCTTTTGATGTCATGTGTGTTGCTCACACACTTTATTTACTCAACCGGATCAGTTCCACCAGTGAACAGGAGACATGCACAGGATGAGATAACACTATACTGTTTAGTTTTCAGATTATTTCCTAGTCGGATCTGATAAGTGTGCAAACCACCAGCAGCATCATTGACTCATCTATTTCCAAACCTGTCTTCTCCCTTCTTGTAAGCAGCTATGGGACACGGAGCGGCCAGATGGTAATATCTCATTGGTGCACAGCTCCAGCATGCGGCAGTTCAACTGGGGCTACACCCAGTTCTCTCAGTTCAATGCAGACGACAGCCTGCTGCTCGTGTCTGGTGTTTACCTGGGCCCACACCACTCCTCCTCTGGGGAAATTGCTGTCATCAGTCTGGGTAGGAACCAAAACCTGTTTTCTTTCACTTTGTTTGCTGAAAACATGCTCTTAAATGGTTCCAATGTGTTGAATGATTGATTAAAAAATGCTTTCAGCTTCATTAGATTATATAGGCAAGTTAACTGAAAACAGTGTGGTCTTAGTTTGTTTATTACATTTAAAAGCAGCTGTAGACTGGCCAGAAACTGATCCGACAAAAAGCAGAGCCGTCTGTAGTGAAGCACGGATACAGCTCTGTTTCATTTTACTGTTGCTATCTCTCTCACTCTCACCATTCTGCACACCGTCACAGAAAATTACACACTGTTGTCACGGGTGAGGAACAAGCCGTACGATGTGTTTGGCTGCTGGCTGAATGAGACCCACCTGATCTCTGGGAACCTGCACTGGATTGGCAACATGACCTCCTGCTCTGTGCTCTGGCTCAATAAAGCCTTCCAGGTGAGACCCGCCGCAGCAGCTACTGCTTATCAGTCAGTCGAAATCTGTCTACAGACATAGCATCTACAGGAAGAGCTTTACACATGAAGAAATTACAGCAATAAATATTATCACACATCACACCCCCCTCACATCTTCTCTCCTCCTCACTCTTTTCTTTTCTGCAACAGGATATTGAATCAGAGAACGTCAACGTGGTCAAGCGCCTTTTCAAGATCCAGAACATCAATGCCAGCACCATCCGCACAGTGATGGTGGCCCACTGTCGTCGTCATGACAACCCGGACTTGGTGCTGGACTATGAGGCTCAGTCTCAGGCTCAAAGGCAGAAAGGGCAGCAACGGCAGCACCAGCCCCTCCTCTTTGACCTGGGAACCTCCGGCAGTGAGGAGGAAGACGAGGAAGAGGAAGAGGAAGGAGAGTGTCAGAGGCAAGCGAGGTGTCAAGGCCCCTCAACTGCCCGCCTCTCCCAGTCCACCATCTCACCCCTGGAGCAAGTCATACAGGTGAGCTAGGTGTGACACTCTCAGGCATTTTGTTCCATTTTTTTTAAGGAAAAACTGTTCTTCATTCTGCCTCGTTTTCTCTTTCCTTCATCATCGTTGTCA